CATTTTTGGCACCCAATGTGAGGCCCAAGAAAGAAGAAAAGCCTGTATGATTGCATTTTGGGTTGTGCTTACTCTGTAGTGGCACAAAGCAGTCAGTAACGATGTTACTTGAAGTGGTAATGTCTCTCGGGGTGGGGGGCCTTCATGTATTTCTAGTCCCAAGGCTTTTTTGAAGTTGTAATAACTTTCTAGGCACTAGGATTATTTTCTTATCTGAAAACAGCTCCACTATTGTTCTAATCCATAGCTTTTCCAGTAGAGGGGCATGGGTTTGAATAGCTATTGTGCTAGGCTCAGTAATAATAATTTATAGGGAGTTTACAAAAGTACTGAAGTCTGTTCAAGATATATTTGGTTTATAGTTTCTCCATCCTACCCTATGTCCCAGTTCCAGTAGCATGTTTTGGGGGTTTATTAGAAATTACACACAGTTTATTAGATGAAAAACAAGGGATGAATCTTTCCAGCCTTTCCTTTCCTTCTTCTCCTTTGAATCTGTTAAGTCTCTTTTTGAAAAGGTTCAGTTTCCCCTGAATGTTAAAGAGACCACTTTCCTCGTATTTAATCTAGTAAACTTCCTCTATATAGTCTACAGCTCCTCTAGACTGAGGGCTAAGATGTCCAGAGTATAATAAATAAAAAGGTCTTTGCTCATCAAAACGAGCATTGAAAGAGATAAGAATTTGAACTGAGTAGGGAATCTCAAGATGTGTGAGGTGAAAGAGAAAGGTGGGGAAACAGCAAGTATTCTGCTTAAGAATTGTGCAGATGCAAGTAGCATAGCAGACTGTGTAACTAATTATATACAAGTTAACTTTTAGGCCAAGGACAATCTGCAAGGAAGATGAGGAGCCTTCATTCCTATGACCACCAAGGGCAGAAAAAAGACCCCCTAGCACCCAATTGCACCGGCGCAGAGTGCATCGACAGAAAATACATCAACTGGAAAAAAAAAGGGACTATAAAAACAAAAAGGTCAAAGGGGGAAGGTGCGCCGTGGCAGAGCAGAGACTCCCCGGCCGCCCAGCGTTGTTCTTTTGCTTAATACTGCTTGCTTAATAAATTCTTGTTAATTGATTTATCTATAATTAGCCTCCACAATTGAATTTGTCCATAACAAATTTGGTGCCGTGACTTGGATAAGGGCGACCGGGTGGGAATTCCTAATCAGGGAGGCGTCCTGCTGCCTCTGCAGCAGCCCTGGTGCAGGCTTTGCATTCCCGGACCCTTACTGACGAACCTAAATTTGGTATTAAGCAAAAGGTAACCCCGTAATCTTTGTGCATGAAGCCCAGGCGAAGACACAGGACAGCATGAGTCTAAAAGTGGGGATCCGCTCGGTTGGGGTTGGGATCCCAGGACATAACGCATGAGATGTCCTTTTAGGACGAGGCAAGTGCGGACCTCTAAGTAGTGCAGTTTCCAGACCCCGAGAGGGGCTGGGCCACAAACAGGGGGCCGCGAGTGTGTGTGTGCGTGAAGGTGTCCTGGAAGATGGGAGAGAGGAAAAGCAAGCCCTCTGCTTCCATGGGGAGGGGGACCCCGCTGAAGCTTCCCCAGATACCCCCTGACAGTCCGTTAGGTCTAATGATAAAATCTTGGGATGAATATCCTTCAAGAAAAGGGAAGGATAAGGCAAAAATGATACATTATTGTATAAAAGTATGGGGAGGGAAACAAATCCGTAGTGATAATTTATTTTGGCCAGTGTTTGGAAGCTTTGAGGACTGGATTTACCAGGCATTAAACATTTATGTAAACTCTAAAGAACCTTTTGATATGGAAGAGAGCAAGTATGCTGCTCTCTGGATAGTGGGGGAAACAAGAGCAAAACTTTTTGCCTTAAGCACCCAGGGAGGGAAAAAGAAAAATAAAAAGCCTGAGGAAGTTCCAACTGCACCCCCTCTACCATACGTACCTCCCCCTCCTCCACCCCCACCAGCACCACCCGCAGTCTACCCCGATTTGGATCAAGGGGGAGATTTTGATAACTAAGAGATAAAAATCCCAGAGCCGGTCCCTGAGAAAAATCACCACGTTACTCGTAGTCTAACAAGGGGGGAAAGAGAAAGGGAAGGGCAAGCTCTGTATCTATTAAGGGAAGTAGCTTTGGGAATAATCCCTAACCCCAGTGCTGGTCAGCAGGGACAACCAGCCGAAATTCCGGGAATAGGTTATGTGGAGGTACCTCTTAACTCAGGAGATGTGAGGGAGTTCAAGAAAGAAATGGGAGCATATGGGCCAAATCTTAAAGGAATTTTCTGACCCTATAGCCTGGGACTTCCCATGTGAACAAATTCAGAATCCAGCTGAGGTGGCAGAGTACCTGAAAGAGAAATGCCATGGTAAGTCTAAGGAGAAAAAGATCATTGCAGCGTTCTGGGCCCTGGCATATGCTTATCGCACCCTGCTAGATACTGTAGGGCAGCAGACAGAGGAAGGGGGGCAGGGAGATAAATCAGCAGCTATCCCAGTCACTCAGGCTGCAGCCAACAGCCCAAGCTCAAAGCCAGCAGCTAAACCAGACTGTGAGCCTAAGCTAGGAGCTAAACCAGACTGTAAGCCTCAAACAGTGGCTGTTGCTACGAGCACAATGGGCCAGTGATATCTCAGGCCATCAGGGCAGAGATGGCACCTGTAAGTGGGCACAAGACCAAGGGGTGGATCTAACCATGGACAGTATTTCTCAGGTGATCCATGACTGTGAAGCGTGTACTGTGATCAAGGAGGCCAAGCGAGTGAAGCCCCTCTGGTATGGTGGGCGGTGGTCCAAGTACAAGTATGGGGAGGCCTGGCAGATTGACTACATCACACTGCCCCAGACACGCCAAGGCAAGCGCCATGTGCTCACAATGGTAAAAGCCACCACAGGATGGCTGGAAAAAGTTCTTTATAGAAAGGGTTGTCCAGCCCTGAAACAGAATGCCCAAGGCAGTGGTGGCACCCCCATCTTGGCGTGGGGATTTAAAAGCCATGTGGATATGGCACTTGGGGACATGAGTTAGTGGTGGAATTGGTTGGACTCAATCTTTTCCAACCCAAATAATTCTATGATTTTACATTTAGCAGAGAATGTTTACTGTTAGACCTGGAATCTCAGACATTCCCACAGCAGTAATCCAAATGGAGATGTGTAATTAGTAGCATGAGTTGTGGAGACTTCTGAGGCGGGGAAGATGATCTTTAGAATCATGGTATTTGAAACTTTGGAGACTTATGCTTGGATATTTCTTTGACTGCCAGCTCATGGAAACATTATCTATGGGATCTGTCTCACCGTTTTAAGAGTAACAGTATAAGAGGAAAAAAAAACAACAAAAACCGAAAGAAAGCAAGAAACCAGAACACTGCTAGAGAACTAAACCTGCTCTGTATGATTGCTTAACTTTGCTAACTTCTGGCAGCTTGAATATTTCCCTTAATCAGAGAGAGCTGATAGGAATGGACAAGAAAAAACAGACCCTTCCATATCTGTGGGCATGAACATTGCTGTCCACAAATAAGTGTTCAGGTTAAGACTACCCAGAGACAAGCAGCATTGCATAAGAAGCCGAACAAATACCAAAAACATTTCCTTGGTACTGGAAGCAAAAACGTCTTGAGAAGGAAAATGTAATAGCATCCTACTAATAGTAATTTGCATGTTAGTTAATTTACTTGTACTAAAAATTATGCCAGTCACATGCAGCCCTGCCTCCCTGGGAGGATGGAGCACTGGAGGGAGTGGGGGTGTGGTAATTAGCCAAGTTTTCCTTGGTATCCAGACTGACCCCATTGCTCCGTGTTCTCCTTCTGCTTCTAGGATGGTGCACCGATTCAGACAACTGGATTCAAAGGTACTTCTGTCCCAGATTGCTCTGGGGAATGTGATTCTCTCTGGTAAAGCAGGGGGTGTGCCATGGCAAGGAAAATGAGCCTCCCAGAGTCGTGTGCAGTCTGTGTCACTGTCACCAGGGCCCCATTTTAATTGAGCTTTTTTACCGTGCTCTTTTGATTCCACAGATAGGAGTGTGTAGGGCGTGTAGTGATTAGGACAGAAGGGAATGGTTTTGAACTGAGAGTAGGATTAGATGGGATAATGGGAAAAAATTCTTGGCTGTGAGTTTGGGCCCACCCTGGCACAGGGTACCCAGAGAAGCTGTGGCTGCCCCTGGATCCCTGGAAGTATCAAAAGCCAGGCTGGATGGGGTTGGAGCAGCCAACAATGAGCTGTGAGGTCCCTTCCAAGCCACAAGAGCTTTATATGATGCAGGAAAATGAAACAAAGACACTTGCTTAGCACTGGAGGAGTGTTTCTCAATATTCCTTGTGGGATGGAATAAAACGAAGTAATTTACATCTTAAACTGCAACATTCAGCTGTATAACAGGTCCATGAAATGCCAGTGGGAAGAAGGGATGTCACACACTTGACATGTCCCCATCGCAAAGGTGTCTGTCAAGTTTAGCTTCTGGTGGTGTTGGCCTGGTGTAATTAAGCAATATAAGGCTACCCATCTACCAGAGAGCACATTATGAGAATTGCCATGCAAATAATCTTTTTATGACTGTGATGTTGAAATGGGTATGTGTGTTCACAGTGGGTATTTTCTGAGGCTTGACTGAATTATCTGTTTGGCCTCTGAAGTGAGAAGTGGCTTTGGTATGAAGCAAAGACTTTTCCAGAAGCTCAGGTGAAAAGACCCACATATACTTCAGAGTACTTTTTTTTTTTGTTACTGTCAAATAATTTAGATTGCAAAATAATAGCTTGCTTCCAGACTGAAAGGGAAGTGGTGAGTGAGTCTGTGGCTAGTGATGCTTTTCTTGAAACTGAAAGGAGATCTGCTAACCTTAATTCTCTCCTGAAAAGAAATACCCATCTCTTGCTTCTCTCTTCTGGTAACTGCTGGTTAACTCTCTGAAATAGAGGCATCAGGACTCGCTGCATTAATTGCCCTGATGAACACTGTACTTGGGACTGTCCTCTCAAGCACTCTTGCATTTGGTGTAATACTTGCAGAGGCAATTACTTGTTACTTTCATTGCTCATTAGCATTGCATTCCTTCAGCTAGATGGACTTTACAAAAATAACCTCCTCCTTTTTTTTTTTTTTTTTTTTTTTTTTTAAGCTCTCTGATTTGAAGGGCTTTCTGAAAGAGATTTCCAGTAAAATTAAATGAGTGGAGCTGAAATTCAAGAGCAGCTACTGGAGCAGGGTAAGCCCACTTTAAATCCATTGTCTGCCTTGAAATCAAGTTACCAGCATTTGTGTTGGTGTTAAATTGGTGTGTCTTTGAAAGAAGAGCTAGTATTAATTGTTGATGGTTATATTCATAGTGTCTGATACTGGGGAAGAAAGGAGACACAAATTCTCTTCCTCAATTGTGTTTTTCTTTATGAAAAGTACAGTTTTCCATCTGGGGTTTCTATCAATTTTTGGCACTGTTTAAAATACCTTGTTTTGCTCGCTTGCCTCTGAATAACTGTGACTAACCCAAGGTTATTTTAGTTGTCTTTGTGTTGGAGGGCATCTAGAAAATGAGGAGCTGCTGTGCTGGATCCTTTACCCTTGGTATCTTTTAACTCTGAAGAGCAGGCAATCCAAATAGAAAAGACAGAAGTGAGGGCAGGAGTAAGGTTTATTTTTCCACTATCAAAGTGGGGCATTAGGCTGGATTGCTGTAGCCTTCCTGTGTCCTGTGCAATAAGCTGCAGTGTGAGGAGCTGACCCAAAGCCTCAGGTCCAGTTTGAGTGTCCGGTCATCAGCCTTGTGTCCATTTGCCTTCTGTTTCAAGAAAGAATTGGTTTGGGTCCCACAGTGGGATGTGAGAGGCAGACAGAATATTGATGCAGAGAACACTGTCACCTTTAGAGACAGAAGGTTAAGAAGTGTAACTGTTGAATGGGATAATCTGGAACAACTTGATCAGCCCGGACATTACGGCCTGGCTCTTTCTTCCACAGAGCGGTTTTGTCCAAAAGACCTTAAACCTGTGCCAAACATTCCCCAGTCAGCTCACTCTTTTCCTGGGAGAACTGGATATTCACTTGACCTAAGTTCCATTTAGTCATGAATGACTTGCAACCACCTAATAAAATCTACAAGGATCACCAGTTCCTGGGCTGCTTCTGGGATGTGCTGGACTTCAAGTTGCCTAAAAAATAGGCTGTAAAATAGTGGAACTCTGGAGGCCATTTAGTCCAGTGCTGCTAAAACAATGCCAGCACAGATCAAAGGGAGCTGCAGTGTGGCTGGAAAACAGGTTGTAATTAGATACAGTGGGGCAGCCTGGGACAAGGGAGGGTAGTTTATGATGGAGCTTGTGGAAAGGGACCTCTCATGATGGATGACAGTGCCTTCAGAAGAATCCTAGAATCCCAGAACGGTTTGGGCTGGAAGGGACCTTAAAGCTCATCCAGTTTCACCCTCTGCCATGGGCAGGGACACCGTCCCCTGGACAAGGCATCCAATCACCCGAGCTGATGAATTGAGAGGATGAAAGCAAAGCCCTGAGGTGGGCTGGGAGTTCTACTCTCCAATTCTTTCTGTTGCTCACACAGGTACCAATTAATGAAGAATAATTGCTCGGAGCTGGCAGCAACCCCCAAGCAGATGGTAACAGAGGCACCAGAGTATCAATGTCTCAGCAGGAGTCAGCAGGATTTTCTTGCAATTTTTATTTTTGTTGATCAAACAGTCCTTTCTCCTTGTTGCAAGGTTGTGGTGAAACTGGAGATGACTGCTTATCTCCTGACATGATTCCTGCCCAAACTCTTCTCATCTGCCCTAAGGTCCAGTGGCAGCAATTAGTCCTTGTTAAGCTGCTGTTGCAAATCACTCCTATTTCCAAGAGTTCTGCTGCTGTTGCCAAAATCCCTTTGCTTTTCCATTTCACTTGGAGGGACCTGTGCGTGGCTTTCCTTCAAGCACTAATTGCATGTCTGAATGAATCAATCTCCCTTCCTGTTCTGCCCTGTAGTAGCTGGATCTTGCTTGTTCCTTGCACGGGCTGTCAGACCTGCTGGGGTCTGGAATGCTGGTGTGCCAGAATGCAGTGCATTTCAGCATCATCCCCCCAAGGAAAGCCTTTGGTCCAACCCTGCATCCCTATTTCAGACTGTAAAGGAACATTGTGGACTTGTTCCCCCTCTACCCGGAACCTTTCAGCAGTGCAGAAGCTCAGCTATTACAGCCCTGCATGGGAGAGACATTAATTCATCTAGGAACTGTTTCTAAGGCTTTGTGGGCAATCCTTCCTTGGTTTCAGTCATGAAAATTTGTATTCTGGGAATGTTGGAATTCATTTGACTTTTCCAATGTGTTTGCTGATCTTTGCAGCTGGAAATGGAAAAGAGATTGTTGGAACCTTTAAATAGAGCAGTGCTTGATATGGTCAGGTGGTGCTTTCTGTCTAAAATAGCAGCTGAATTCTGTCACTTTTTTTTTTTTTTTTTTTTTGTATAACTGAGAGCATAGCCAACTGAAGGCACTACAAATAGCATTTATTTACATGGCAAAGCATTGTATCAACCTTCCTTCCCAGTGTCTTGGAATCATGGAATCACAGACTCACCAGAGGAAAGGACCTGCAAGGATCATGGAGTCCAACCCCTGGCCCTGCACAGACACCCCAACAATCCTATCCTATGCATCCCTGAGAGCATTGTTCAAATGTTCCTTGGGCTCTGTCAGCCTGGGGCTTTGCCCATTCCCTGGGGGAGTCTGGTCAGTGCCCCAGCACCATCTGGGAGAAGAACCTTTTCCTAAAATTCCACCTTACCCTGCCCTGACACAGCTCCAGCCGCTCCCTCAGGTGCTGTCCCTGTCACAGAGAGCAGAGATTGGAGCTGTCCTTTGGGAGAGAGCTGCCAGCCATGCTGAGACCTCCTCCTCTTCTCCAAGCTGAACAAGCCAATTGACCTCAGCTGTTCCTCATACAGCTTCCTCTCCTGGCCCCTCATCATCTTCATTCCCCTCTTTGGATACTCTCTGCAGGCCTTATATCCTTATGATACATTCAGAGAGGTTGCTGCTCTTTTCTCCCTGCATTTCATCACCCAACTGTACTGTATGCTGTGCATGACATCATCCTGGGGTCTCCAGCACTAACAATAGCAGTGGTATCTGTTTTCATGTGGAAATATTTCCTGCTGAAAAGTAAAGGAGCCAGGCTTTCACTGATTCACATGGCAGTTAGCTGCATCATAAATTCTTGAGATAAGGTTCCTTTCTGGAAATTATTTTTCCCATATCATTTGTCTGCCTTGGATGTGAAAATTGTGCTTTTTGTTCACTCCCTTCCTATATAAAACCTGTGGAATGCTTTCAACCCTTCCGGGAAATCCCAAGGGCCTTGCCTTGGAAGAATATACAATAGTCTCCACCTAGGCTTAAAGAGAAGACTTCTGCCATGGAGCCTTGCAACACCAGGATCCACCCCCGTTCCTTTCCCCGTGTCCCAAATTCTTGCAGTTTTTCCTTTCCCTGTTTCCTCATTGGTCCTTGGTCGTGGTATCCCTGGTGGCTGGCCCCGTCTTCCCTGTAGGCCAATGCCCTTTGCCCTGCCCTTTGTGCTGCCCCCGTGCCCTCAGACCATTGGCCACTGACCCCTGCTTAACCTTGTGCAGAGCACATGGCCAGGTCTTTGTCCCTGATCCCTTCAGCCTGGTGGATGCAATAAACCTTTGCTGGAATACATCATAAATAGACCCTTTCTGTCTTTCCTCTGCTGGGCTATGTGTGTGTGTGGACTTGAAATGGCTGTTCTTGTGGCCTTACTCAGAGTAGCTTCTGAAGGTGACACTTTGAAGGAGGCTGCAGCATGTCTAGCACCCTGCCATGTGGCAACAGAAACCTGCTGTGTGATTGCCTGAAGCTGTAGAGATCTATTGTTGTGTGAACGTAACTGTGAAACCATGTTCTGTAAGGTCTGAATTCTGGAGTCAGTCCATGGCCGGTGCTGCACCCAGGGGCACCAGCCCATGCTGCACACGCTGCTCCCTTCCCAGAGGCCGCACGGGCTCTTCTCCAGGCTCCAGGCTCCTGCCAGGGCCGATGGAGCCGTGGCCTGGTGGGGCTGCGGGGCGGCACCGCGGCTCCCCGGGCAGCAGCCGGCCCTCTGCCCCCTCCAGAGCCAGCGCCAGTGTTTGGTGCCAGCACCTGCACGGGGAGCCCTGCAGGCGCTGTTGTCTGGCTGCTGCCAATAAGGGGCAGGGGGCAGAGGCAGGGCTGGCGGCCAGCCCGGGCCCTCGCGGCTGCCCAGGCCAGGTGCTGTGACCGAGGCCCCCCGACACAGAGCTCTGGGCCCGCAGAGCTGCTGCCACCATGGGGAGGGTGGCCAGGTCTCCTGGAGCAGGGCTGCGGAGGCACTGCTGCCGCGGTGGCTCTGGACCCCACAGAAACAGCAATGGAACGTGCACAAGAACAGCAGGTCTGCTTGCAGCACTTCCCTTGGCTGCTCCTTTAGGGTGCTTGCACCACACTCGGAGACACAGAACACCTTCTTTTCCTCTGAGCGGTATTCCTGTCCTCTGCACTTTCCCAATGCACCAGGTATTAGCTGCTGGATTCAACTAGACACACAAACTGCTGCATTAAACTTTCCACTTGGCTGGTTTTTTATTCCAGAATGCTTTAAAAATGCACAGAAAAGTCCAATGAGATGTGACTGTGTCTCTGTCCTGTGAATTTCACTAGATACTGGAGCTTTTGTGTTGCTGCTAATCCCTTCTATGGAAAAAATTAATTCTAGGGAAGAGCAACATCATCTGACAGACACCAAGTGTTGCCAGCAGTTGCTCCAGGTGCTCCTGCCAACAGCCCCTGCAGGAAGGAGCACAGCCCCCAGTGCACGTGGGTTTGGCTCCCTCTGGCACAGAAGCCCCCCAGGGGCACAGGTCTCTGGGGCAGGACACGGGCACCAGCCCTGTCAGGGCTCGGGGGGTGGCAGGTCTGCTTGGGTGGGGACTCTGCCACAGCTGCTGGTGTCAGCGCTCCCCGGGCCCCAGGGCTCAGAGCAGCATTCGTGCCCTGGCCCACAGTTCCTTGTGTGTGCCACACCCGCGGGTTTAGGATGGCCACAGGCCATGGCAGCTTCTATGGAAGGTCCCGTGCCCTTCCCAGCGCAGCTGCGCCGCCAGCCCTGGGGGCTCCTACTGCTGCCCTGAGCCCGCAGAGCAGGGCAGCGTTTGCTGATGGTCTGAGACGTTCCTAAAGATCCCGTCGGGCTGTCTTAGACACTTGGGGCCAGGAATTCCTTCCAACCTGGGCCACTTTGGGTGGGCGGGGGGCGGCCCCAGGGCTGGCGGCGCAGCAGGGCTGCCTGTCCAGCAGCTCTCCATCCTCTTTCCCCCACTGCATCTCCCTGCCTCAGGCACTGGCCTGAAACCTGGCCTAAGGACAGCTGCAGGGCCACCAGGCCCGCTGCTCCCCCTGTGTCTCTCTGGGCCTCTCCCTGCCACCCTCGGGCCCTGTCACACAGATACCTTGGCACTGAACGCTGCCTCGGGCTGCTCTGTCCTTTGCAGGCAACTGTGGTGATGTGGAAGATCCTCCAGGAGCCCTGTGTCCCAGATATAGTGATGGAGCATTTCTGGCAGTTATTTGTGCATCTGCTCTTCCAAGTGTTCTTCAGCACCAAAGAGATGCCAGAGGCTGTTGATACCTTCTGGAGGGGATGCCAGGAAGAACACGGCCTTGCCACCAGCCCCAACAGGTGCTCCATCCCAGTCCTTCTGTCCCTGCCACATGGCCAGGGCAGGAGCCAGTGCTCCCAGTGTGACCCGGGCTTTGCTCTGCACTCAGGTTTGCAGTGAGGACCCTGAAATCCCTGCTCTGCCAAATGGACTATGAGGATGTGGTGGTGTCAATGGAACGCAAGCGTGGCTGGGACACACTGCTCTGTGCTGACACCCACCACTGTGCCGTGGGTCTGCTGGCCAGGTGAGACCCTCTTCTCCCCATTGCTCCCAGCATTTGTGCTCTGTGTCTGGGGTATCCCACTCAGTCCCTGTGGCTGTGGGCCAGAGGGATGAGGCGTGGCCAAGCAGACTGGAAAAGGCTGGGAGAGGAGGGTGCCCAGTAGCAGCCACATCTCAAAGGGCCCAGGTCCCCCTGCAGGGTGGGGGGTGAGGACAAGAACTGCGTCAGTCTGTCCTGGGAAGGGCTTCTCCCCCCCGCTCAGGGTCTTAGTGTCATAGGAGTGGGCCCCCAGACGGATAATCATTATAATTGACTCCATGTATTGCAGAAGTCTGATCAATAATAGTCTTTATTAAGAAACCCATTGTTCTTATAGATAGGTATGATATAGGTTGATTTAATTGGTTTTCTAGTCTAAACACTATCACCATTAGTTAATTAAGAAAGCACCCTTTGGTAGACAAATCTCCGTAACATATTCCACATGTTCACAATACCAGGTGCAGCACGTTAAGATAAGAATGTTTTTTCATTCTTTCCTCTGATCTTCTCAGACTTTCTCAGGCAATGCCTGGGAAAGCTGTCTGTTTCTCTCTGAGGCCAGAGAGCTGCTGCCACATCTTAGTGCCATTTTCCGCCTTCCAGGGAGATGCGCAATGAATCCATCTGCTTGTGCAAGAGCATCTCAGGCTGTCTCCTTGAGTTGCTCAGCAAAGAGATGCCATACTGGAACTTCCCTGCCCTGGCATTCCTTGTGGAGGTGAGTCTGAAGGCCAGCGCTGCCTCCCAGCTCTCTGCCCTCTCGTAGCCACAGCTGCCTGGGACGGTGCCCACGCCCTGTGCTGCTGCCTGGTCCCCACCCTGTGCGGTTCTGGGCTCCTGCCGGCCGGGTCCCCTGTCACTGTCCTGTGCCTTTCAGGTCCTGCATTGCCTGGACTTGAGTGCAGGCAGTGACAGCATCATGGATCTCTTGTCGAGGCACTTGCTGAGTGAGCGCACAGAGATGCGCCGCCAGGTTCTAAGGGCCCTCCTCTTGCTCAGGGATAATCCCTGGCTGGTAAGGAGGGGGCAGCAGCTGAAGCCCTGCAGGCAGCGTGGGGCTGGGGAACGCAGTCACTGGAACTTGGCTGGGCTTCAGGCACTGGGGCAGCCACTCCCAGCTCTCCTGCCTCCCACTTCAGCTGCCCGAGTGCTTCGGGACAGGCCTTTGGCCTCTAGGCCCTGTGGCAGCAGGGTGGCCTTTCACACACTTTTGTTCTGCACAGGCCAAAAGAATGTGGAGCCTGACCAAAAGCCTCGGGGAGCTCCTGCAGGAAAATGATAGTGATGTGGTCAGGATGACCACTGTTCTGTTAAGTGATTTGTTCCTGGATAATGACGCCCCAATACCCAGCCCCATCGCCCTGCAGCTGGCTAAGATGCTCCTGCCACTCTTTGACCACGTAAGGCTCTGTGCCCTCAGCCTGGGCGACTGGCTGCTGCCCAGACACCTGGTGCCCTGTGGAGATGCAGGCCTGAGCCAACGTGGGCCAGAGTCAGCTGATGCCAAGGTCTTGTTCCCTTCCTGTTACACAGGATGATAGCCATGTGCAGCAGCTCTCCATGTTTGTCTTTCGAACCTTGCTGTCTGCTGTAGTAGAAGGAAAGAAGCCCCTGATGACACAAGTGTGTCAGAGCCTGCTCCCACTCATCTTCCACTGCCATGATGAGAATCAGTGTGTGGCAGAGGTGAGGACTCGCGGGCTGCTGCTGTTCCCCTGGCAGGGGCTGGGCTGCCTCCTGCCCTGGCGCCTCGCAGGCTGCAGCCTCCTCCTGGCCCTGGCACAGGGATGCTGATCCTGGGCCCTGGGCTGCGGGGCCATTTCCGTGTCTCTATTGCTCTCCAGGCTTCTCAGGAAACCCTGCTTTGTGCAGCCAAATTCCTGAACAGGAGAGATCTTGAAAAATCTGAAAAGGAGAAACTGTGGAGGTTCACTGAGATCCTGATAAGGAGGGCAGGGAAGCTGCAGCCTCAGCCTGGAGACGCCCTCTGAGCGCGGTGCTCGGTGTGTGGGCTGGTAGCTGTGCCCCTGCCCGCTGCTGCAGCCCGAGGATGCGAAGGCACTTCTTCAGGCTGTGATGTCAGTGTGACATCACAGAGAGATGTGTGACGTCACAGAGATATCAGTGTGACATCACAGAGATGTCAGTGTGACATCACAAAATGCTGTGTGACATCACAGGTGCTGTGTGACATCACAGAGAAGTCCGTGTAACATTAGAGAGAGCTGTGTGACGTCACAGAGATGTCAGTGTGATATCATAGAGATGTCAGTGTGACATCAGAGAGACCTGTGTGACATCACAGAGATGTCTGTGTGACATCACAGAGAGCTGTGTGACTTCACAGTCTAAGGGTGACATCAGAGAAATGTCTGTGTGACATCACAGAGATGTCAGTGTGACATCACAGAGATGTCTGTGTGACGTCACAGGTATGTCCTTGTTACATCACAGAGAGCTGTGTGACATCACAGAGATGTCACAAAGACATTAAGGAGATGTCAGTGTGACATCACAGAGAGCTTTGTGACATTACAAAGATGTACGTGTGAGGTCACAGAGATGCCAGTGTGACATCACAGAGGGCGGTGTGACATCACAGAGTGCTGTGTGACATCACAGAGATCAGTGTGACATCACATAGAGCTGTGTTACATCACAGAGATGTCAGTGTGACGTCACGGAGAGCTCTGTGACTTAACAGTCTCAGTGTGACACATGAGGAATGTCTGTGTGATATCA